CATTTTGAACTCTAGTAGGAACCATTTCACCCTGTTGATTTTCTACCACAGTCACACCACTTTTCTTAGGAACCACCTGCGTAGGACTGACCCACTTACTATCAGATATAGGAAATATCATTCCTATTTGCAATAATTTTATGATCTCCTTCTTTACCACGTCCATCATGGGAGGATTTAGGCGACGCTGAGGTTGCCTCACAGGTTTGGCATCATCTTCTAACAGAATACGATGCATGCAAGTGGATGGACTTATTCCCTTAATGTCTGCAATGGTCCATCCAATAGCTAACTTGTGCTCTTTCAGCACTGTCACCAACTTGTCCTCTTGCTCCTTGGTCAATTTGCTTGAAATTATAACAGGTAAAGTATCGTTCTGACCAAGGAACACATATTTCAAATGATCAGGAAGTGGTTTTAGCTCCACCTGGGGTGCCTGCAAAACAGAAGGTAAGAGTTTATTAGTAGGCACTGTCAATGGGGTAGGTGTCGAACCTGGTGGTCTAAGTGGAAGCTTGGAATGACCATTCAACTCTGCTACCATCATCTGCACACTATTAGGCAAAGGAATATCCAAACAATCAGCAGATAAATCATTAGAAATGGAAGTGAGGAGCGCATCCTCGCCCTCAACATTGAAGACATCCTGCACTATAGGATCAATGATATCAATGGAACACAAAGAATGAGTGTCAACAGGGTATTTCATGGAATCATAGATGTTATACACAATTTCTTGTCCATCAAACTCCATAGTCAAAGAACCAGTAAAAACATCAATTTTAGTCCTAGCAGTTTTCAAGAAAGGTCTTCCTAACAAGATGGGTACTGCTTGTCTATCATGTTCCATATCAAGCACATAAAAATCAGCAGGAAAAATTAGTTCATCAACTTTCACAAGCACATCTTCCACTACTCCCTTAGGATAAACATTTGATCTATCAGCTAATTGAATCACTACCCCGGTGTCATGTAAGGGTCCAAGTTCCAAAGATTTGAACAGTGAATATGGAATAACATTAATTGATGCACCCAAATCCAACATTGCTCTACGAAAAGTGGTGTCCCCTATTGTAACTGGAACAGTAAACATACCAGGGTCACTGCATTTTTCAGGAAGTTTCTTTTGGAAAACTGCAGAAACATGAGCACTGACTTTCACTTTTTCCTTCCCTCCTAACCTGTGCTTCCTCTTAATAGTACAAAGTTCTTTCAAAAATTTAGCGAATCGAGGAACACTCTTTATTAAATTCAAAAGGGGAATGTTTACCTCACACTTGCTGAATGTTTCATAGATATCTTTGTCCTTCTCATACCTCTTCGTTTCTTTCAAAGCTTCAGGAAAAGGTGGTGTGGGTTCATAAGATGGAAAAGTGGGAGGATTTGCTACAGCTTCATATTCCACTTCCTTCTCCTCAGCTCCAATCAACTCTTCAGCCCTCTTAGTTGCAATTTCAGTCTCTTTCAGCTCCTTGCCATTTCTCAATGTAATAGCGTTGGCTTGTTGCTTAGGATTCAACTCCGTTTGAGATGGAAGTTTTCCCGAATCCTTAGCTTCAAGTCTGCTCACTGCACTTGAAATTTGACTCACTTGACTTTCCAAATTCTGAATACTGGATTTGGTCTCTTGCTGGAATTGCACCATGTTTTGCTGCATAGTAGAAACATTAGAAGTTAGTGATCTAATCATTTCATCAGTTGACATATCATTCGAATTTGAGCTTTGGCCTTGAGGTTTGGCCAATGGTGCCCTATATTGCTGATATTGCTGCTGGCCTTGAGCATTTTGCTGTTGTTGTTGGTTCCCCTGGGAATTCCCATATCTCAAATTTGGATGATCCCTTCATCCTGGATTGTATGTATTCGAATATGGATCATATCTTCTCTGAGGACCTTGCCCTTGGAAACCCATTGCATTGGCCTGCTCATTCTGTTCCTCTTGTAATTGAGGACATGCATCAGTGGGATGTCCTGTGGAGGTGCATAAACCACAAGCATTCAGTTGCTGTGGATTCCTTGAGTTCACCATGAACTCACGCATCATAGAAGTCAAATCAGCTACTTGACTCTCTAACTCAGTTGTATTTGAATTTGCTGCATTCACCCGGCGCGTGGGAGTTCTCTGACTGAACTGCCTAGAATTCTCTGCTAGCTCTGCAATCAGCCTAGTTGCATCTCCTGGAGTCTTATTCACTAGCCGTCCACCACTTGCTGCATTCACCATCCTCAAATCATCATCTGTTAGACCTCCATAGAAGTATAGGATGAGGTCTTGATCGGAATACCCATGGTACGGACAACTAGCACACAATCTCTTGAATCTCTCCCAATACTCATACAAGGACTCATCTTCCTTCTGATCCACATTGCTGATAGCTTTCTTAAGGCTTGCAGAAATAGTGGCTGGGTAATACTTCTCTAAGAAACACTTCTTCAAACCTGCCCAATTTGTTATGCTCCCTGGGGGAAGATAGTAAAACCAATCCTTCGCTGCATCTTTGAGAGAAAAAGGAAATGCTCTCAACTGAATTTGCTCATCAGTCATCCCAATCGGTTTCATGCTAGTACATACCACATGAAATTCTGCCAGATGTTTATTTGGATCTTCACCCTTCATGCCATGGAATGCCGGCAATAGATGAATTAGACCAGATTTGATCTCAACATTAGCACCTTCCTCCAACTGCTGATATGCGATGCACAACGGCTGTTGGTTCAAGTTAGGAGCTGTTAGCTCTCTCAGTGTTCGATTTTCTGCCATCACTTCCTCTTCTTGAATGTTGAAGATGTATGTTGATTCACTGGGGTTTGTTCTTGCCTCTCTTCGCAACCTGGAAATATTTCTTTCAATTTCTGGATCAAACTGCAAAACTTCTTTGTTAGCAGAACGGGTACTTATCATACCCTAGCGAACAAACAAAGAAAAAAAAATAGCTAAGAACAATCCTAAAATAAATTCTACTAAGATAAACAATTAAACGGTAACGCCTAAGTCCCCGGCAACGGCGCCAAAATTTGGTGTGCCTCAGTCGTATGCAACCAAAAATATCACAACTAAGCTAACTGCAAATAAACGTAGTTAGGGAAGTCGAGTTCGAATCCACAGGGAAAAAGGGACTAATAACTGGAAACCTAAGTGGAAATACTCTAGGACGGTAGTAACCTAAGTAACGAGGGGGGTTTTCACGAGCAATGATGATAAATGAACTAAGTAAGAACAACGAACGTAATGAATAGGTAATCAATGAGAAGAACGGTCTTGGTTATGCGAAATCCACTAATGAACATACAAATTGATCATAGAAGTCTCCTCAATCAAGCTCTATTGAACACCTTGTTGTAGAATTCCTAGATTCTAAATTCTCATAAATAGTTAGAAATAGCAAAGCGCTCCTTTCTAACCCTTTCCAATGCACAATTCAAGACAAGCGCTCTAAATTATCCACAAGAAGAAAATAAACGGAGAAATCAACAAGGATTGAATAAATTAACACAAGCGGTCTAATTTCTTCAATAATATTATTCCCTCTTCAAGTTATCAACCAAAAGCATGCATCAATAACCTAAAGTTGCTACTTTGGAAAGATTAATTAGATGCAAGCGAATCCAATAATTCTAACCTAGCAATTGATTAAAGCAAATCATGAAATTAATTCAAGGAACAATATATATTCAATAGATATTAAGAGAAGAAAGATCTCACAATTCGTAGCTAAAAGCTTCAATCTTTAACCAAGTATCCGGAAGATTAAGCTTCCATGGATTCTAATTCCAAAACAAAGAATTCTGAAAATTCCAAGAAAACCCTAGAAAGCTTTTTTTTCTCAAAACTTAATTCTCCTTTTCTCCCTTAAAACTTAATTAAAACTAAGCTATTTATATGTTTCTATATTTTAATAACATAACACAATAATAATAATAAAATAATATTCAAAACACGAGCCAAAACAAAGCCAAATTGCTGAAAATTAACCAAAACAGCCCGAATTTCTGCCAGAGCCGCTGCCAGCTGCTCTGGACCCGCTGGCAGCTGCTCTGGCAGCCCCTCACTCTGGTATACCCGCTGCCAGCGGCTCTGGCCAGCTGCCAGCGGCCCTGGCAGCGGTTCCTGCTGTTTTTGCCTTCTTTCCTTGCTTCTTCTTCTTGCTTTGCTTCACCTTTTCCTCAAGCTTTCTTCCTTGCTCTTCCATGCTCCATCACAACTCTCAAATCACGAGCCAAGGTCCATCCTTCTTACATAACTCTTCATTGGTTCCCGAGCTCACTCACTCACTTATACTCATAAATCCCGCCTTTTGCACATAAGTGAGATCACAGCCCAAAACTCACAAAAGCTAACAAAAGTACATATAAAGCATCAAAACACACCCTAAAATGCTTCTCTCAACCCATGATAATAAGGCTTATCAGTGCCTTAGGACATAATCAATTTTTGTTGAATCAAAGTTGTTTCATTAGACAACCTCCACATCTTGGGGAGCGCCGTCCAAGATCGCGTTGCCTAGAGCTATCTTCACTAGTACATAATTGACTTTATGTATCACGTCTTGGTAACACTTTTTGTTAGAGAAGATTACTAGATTTATAAGTAACACTTTGGTAACACTTTTTTAGGATGTAACACTCAATGTAACACTTTTAACATAAGTAACATTACAAAGTAACACTTTCATAATAAGTAACATTTTGTGGTAATATTAACAAAAAACTTTTGTATACACCCGGTTTACACTAATATTACTGTACATCGAGCAGTATAAAGGTAACTTTTAACTAATTTTAGGGTAACTTTTTGCCTTTTTTTGGGTAACTTTAAATATAATACAATTTTTATATAAATAGACAATAAGAAAAGTTTTATAATGGTAATTTAATTACATTCAATCACTAATAATAATTGATTTTTAGTCATTTAAATTAAAATGTGATTCTTTACTAATAATTTTTTTTGTATTGGATTACTTTTATGCATATTAGGGTAACTTTTATTTATTTCAGGGGTAACTTTTGATCAATTTAGTCTATTTTTATAGTGGATATGATGTACAATAATTATTGTACACCCGATTTTTGTAAGTTTGTGAACATTAACAGGTGTTACCTTGAGTTTTTGGGATAAAAATAATTTAGATTAAAATTTCAATTAAAAAAAGGTAGTGTTAATTCCTAAGTTTAACAATTTTTTTTTTGAAACATAAGTTTAACAATTTCATTCATTTTTTTTTTTTTGCGGGAAACAATTTCATTCATCTAGCTAGGTTAATACTATCTTTCCAAATAAAAAATAAAATAAAAGTTAGGTTAATACTATTAGCACCAAAGGAAATTAAAAAAAAAAAATTTGGGGCAAAATTTATTCTGAAACCGCCAAATTAAACAAAATCAAAAGTTGTATTTCATCCTCTTCACAGGAGGAACGAAATTCTCTAACCTAGTTTCATCAGAAAAATCAATTGAATACACCCGGTTTACACTAATATCCTCTTCACAGCGCAATTTCATCAGAAAAATCAATTGAATCCTTGATCGTGTAGCGCAATTACATCAGGGAAATCAGTCGTTTCCTTGAAGCTGTGGGTATCATCAAAATCGTGCTCCAATTTAAGGTATTATCTGATTTACGAGAGTGGTTTTTAATTTTTTTTTTGTTTATTTATTCATCATATTTCAAGAATCTATAAAATGCTTATTCATTAATTTCAAGAATCTAAGAAATCAAGCCTGTATTTTTAAAAAAAAAAAAATTGAACTCTGAAATAATTTAATCGGGTAGGAATCAATTAAGCGTTTACTCTGTATTAGTATAATTGTAGGAATTAAGCATTTATTCATTAACATAGGTTTAGAGAGATTACATGCAAATTGTGCAGAGCTTGTTAAATAGTGTATTTGATTGAAGACACTTTGAACTGATATACTGAATTTTGAAGATGTGATTATTTGAGTGTTATTCTGTGTTTGGGTTCTACTTATTGAGGTATTCGTGAATTCCATTGCAATTTCAGAGGCTTGGATAATCCTTTTATTTTTTCCTCAAACAATTAATCTTCAATTCAGATGATTTGTTTAAATTATTTTTTGATGATTTGCTTAAGTATCCAATAAGATAACGAGGATTAGAACATAGTTTCAATGATACAATATGTACCCTTAGCTGGTTTGAATTAAAAAAAGTTACTAACTTCTTCAAATTTTACACCATGTTACAATGTGAAATGCACTGTCAGATAATCTAGAATTTGATAAGTTTCAGGACATCATAGTTTATGGATCTGACCACATCCTTTTAGAATTAAGGCTCTGATTTATTATTCTTAGCTGTTAGATTTTAGCATTCTATATGCTTTTTGTAGATGAGACTTTGATCTTTCACAAATCTTGAAGTAAATTTGGCAGGTTTTGCATTGCATTAGAGAAATTAGTTGTAAAGTGTCTGGGCAATTTCCCTGATTTGCAAGCTTTTCACTTGTGGTTTTTCACTTTCATTTTTCTATTGTCCTCTAGACTCTACTTTTATGGTCAATTTGTTTGGCTTCACTTGTTATTAGTTAAATATTTTAACAGAAAAGGTTTTCACTTGATGAACAGGGAGAATTTTTCACCCAAAAAGGTTTGGAGTCTAGGGGATGGGGATCTTAGAATAAGGTGTTAACATTTGTAAATCAAATATCCTGTAGGATTGTGTCATTGCGTTTGGAGGTTTGCTAATGGTCAGTGCTTTTATATAGGGATCAACGTAAATTGAAGTGTGAAGCAGCAGTAACTGACTTTGTTTAAATTTAACTTATTTGAATTGAATTTGTCTAAACAAGTCCTAATAAGTTAAACCAAATGAATTGAACATTATTTTTTTTTTTTTTTTACTTGTTTCATTTCTATTATTATTATATGAGGTTGAATATATGGGCGTTTGTTTCTATGGATAATGTCATTCCTTTTGAACATGTTAAATTATATGCTAATATTTTAAATCTTTAAATTTAATTATGTATAAATTTTTATAAAGGAGACAAAGTGAGTAGTTAGACCAACTTCTTACAATCTAGTCACGAGTATGAGAAAGGTGTAGAGGATTATTTAGATAAAGAGTTTTCAACACAAGCAATTAGAGATCAAATTTCTTGCCCGTGTAAGGTGTGCTATCATCGCTTTTGGCATCATAGAGAGACAATTTTCAATCATTTGATTGCAAACGGGATCGAGCCAGGATGGCATTGTTATGAAAAGGGCTTGTAATCAACATCAAATAATGAAAGGGATGTTGAAGACATGCATGATGATATTGAACGTCTGATATATGATGTTCATAGAGATGTGGCAGAAAGGTGTGAAGGGGTTGGAGATGAGCCAAATGATGAGGCTAAGAAGTTTTATAAGTTAGTTGAAGATGGAAAACAAGAGCTATATCCTGGGTGCAAAAAGTTTTCAAAGCTATCATTTCTTATTCTTTTTTACCTTTTGAAGTGTACTCATGGGTTAACTAATGTAGCAATTTCTGATTTTTTGGAGCTTTTTTCGAGAAGTGTTACCGAATGCATCCAATTTGCCTAACTCTTTTAATGAAGCAAGGAAATTGATAAAAGATCTAGGTCTTCATTATGACAAGATTAATGCATGTCGTAATGATTGTATGCTATATTGGAAGGAGCACGAAGCTGCCACGTCTTGTCATGTTTGTCATGCTCCAAGGTGGAAAGAAACACAGACTGAAAATCAAGAAGATATTACTAATCAGCCATCTAAGAAAGTGCATCAAATCCCCGCAAAAGTTCTTTGGCATTTTCCTCTTAAACCAAGGCTTCAAAGTTTGTACATGTGTTCAGAAACAGCAAGGCGAATGAGGTGGCATGATGAAGAATGAAAGAAAGATGAGTTATTGAGGCATTCTGCCGACGATGAGGCGTGGAAAAAATTTGACCAAAAGTACCCAGATTTGAGCAAAAGTACCCATATTTGACCAAATGTACTATGTTGTGTGCTTACCACCATGGTTTCATACACAACCATGGTGGTAAGCACACAACATAGTACATGGCCTGTTGTTATAATTAATTACAACTTACCACCACGGTTGTGTATGAAACCAGAATTCTTAATGTTATCTCTCCTTATTCCTGGGCCTTCCTCTCCTGGACATGACATTGATCTCTACCTTCAACCATTGGTTCAAGAACTTAAAGATTTGTGGGAGTATGGGTTGGACACATATGATGCGCAAAAGCGTCAAACATTTAAGATGCGTGCAGCTTTACAATCAACGACCAGCGACTTTCCAGGTTATGTTATGCTATGCTATCTGGTTGGAGCACCAAAGGGAAGTTTGCATGCCCCTATTGTCACTACGAGACTGATCATATTCACTTGAATAATAGCAATAAATCCTACTATTGGGCTCATCGTCGATGGTTAGATGAAAATCATCCTTGGCGGTATGATATGGAGTCTTTTAACGGGGAAAAGGAAGAGAGGACATCTCCAGATCCTTTAACAAGGTATCAAATTTAAGCTTGTTGGAAAATTGGGAAAACAAATTTGGAAAGTTACAACCAAAGAAGAAATATGTAGATTGTTCATGGAGAAAGTCCTCCGTCTTCCACACTTTGCCTTATTCGAAAGATTGTGGGTGTCGTCATCATTTGGATGTCATGCACATTGAAAAAAACGTATGTGATAATGTGCTAGAGACTTTATTAGACATACCTGGAAAATCAAAAGATCATCATAAGGCTAGATTAGATATGCAAGAAATGGGTATAAGGGAACAACTATACCCTATAGATGCAGGTGACGGGCGGTATGTTTTGCTGCCCAAAGCATCATTCTCAATGACGAAGGAAGAGAAAAGCATATTTTGTAGTGTTTTGAAGAAGGCAAAGCTGCCCCAAGGTTGTGCATCAAATATTGCAACGGGTGTGCAAGTGAAGGAGGGGAAAATATCAGGGTACAAGAGTCATGATGCTCATATAATAATGCAACACTTGCTTTCGTCAGCTATTAGAAAAACTTTACCAAAGCATGTTGCTTTACCTCTTATGAGATTGACCGGCTTTTTTAGAGAAATATGCAAGAGAGTCATCAATCCAAAATATTTGGATCGCCTTCAAGCACAAATTGTTGAGACTCTTTGTGAACTAGAAAGAATATTTCCACCATCTTTTTTTGACATAATAGTCCACTTACCGATTCATTTAATTGATGAAATAAAGCGTGGTGGACCAGTTTGTGATTGGTGGATGTACCCTATAGAAAGGTACCTTGGAAAGTTAAAATCATATGTTAAAAATCGATGTCGCTCGGAGGCTTCTATAGCTGAAGGTTATTTGGCTGAAGAGTGCTTGATATTCTGCTCTAGGTATTTAAATGCAAGTGTAAAGAAGCAATCTAAGTGGTTTAGCAAAAGTCAAGAGAAAAGTAATGAAATTGATGAAGAATCACCTTTGTTCCCTAAGGCAGGTTTTCCTCTTGGGAGGAAAAAGAAAGGGAAGAAGAAAGGGAAGTCATACACTCTTGATTCAAACACAATGACTCTAACACATCGTTATGTGTTGTTTAATTGTGAAGATGACCTAGTTGAGAATTACATCAAGTGAGTAATTTTTCATTTATCTTTTTCCGTTGTGTTTGAATTTCTTTTGTTTTATTATCTTACTTATATGGTTGTTTAATACTATGAAGGGAACATGAAGAGTTTGTAAAGAAGAAGTCTAAAGATAGACAAAAAAGAAGGTGGAAAGAGGCACAAGAGCATAGCAATGAATTCATGGTTTGGTTTAGAGGAAAGGTCGAGGTGAATTATGTCCCAGATCATATCAAGTGGCTATCCAAAGGTCCTTCTAGTGTTGCACGGAGCTACACCGGATATTTTTGTAATGGATATAAGTTCTACATAAGAGATCATGATGAAAAGTGTAAAACGCAAAATAGTGGAGTCTCTTTGACAGCTTTGACTCCAAGCTTCGCGAGTAGCAAGGATCACAATCTCGTTCTTGGTGATGTCACATACTATGGGATTATAAGGTCTATAATAGAGATAGATTATTGGAGTGCTTTCAGTGTTGTGTTATTCAAGTGTGATTGGTTCCATATGGAAGTAGACGATTATGGACTCACTCGTGTTAACTTCAAGAAACTGTGCTCTAAAGATGATCCTTTTGTCTTGGCATCACAAGTGCATCAAGTGTTCTATACTCAAGACGACCTTGAAGAAGATTGGTACTATGTGAACCAAAATTTTCCAAGAGACTTTTTTTTATGTCGAGGGGCAATCTGAACAAACGTTTATGAGTGAACTTCGTGAACCCGCGGAGGATGTAATTTCTGCTACAGGTCATGTTGAACATCATAATTGGTGCAGAGAAGCTGCTTATGACAGAGTTGAGGTTCATGTGAACAATGAAATTATGGATGATAATCGAGAAGAAAGTTCCGATATAGATGACACATATTGGGATTGGATGGAACCATCAAAGTGAAATGTCTAGAGAATTTAATTAGAATTATTATTATAATAGATTTAAACCTATTTTGTGGATTTCACAAAATATCATTGTAGTGTTTTATTTTTCTATCTTAACTTCTTGTGTTATTTTTTTTGTTTTTAAGTCAGTGGTTAAATAAAGTGTTGTGAAACAGAGTACCTCTATGTTGCTAGTTGATTTGATTCAAGGTTTGATATTATAGTGACAATTTAATATTCAAAGGGTCATTCTTATTTTCACCAAGACCCAAATTACATTTAGCCAACTGTTGAAATGTTCTTTCTACTCAGAATATGTAAATTAATCTAGACTTTGTTTTATGTGCAGTCAGGTGTGCTAAGGTGCTCAAACTTCCAATCAGGTGCTCTTTCTTTGTCCTGTCTCTCTCTTTTTTTTTGGCTGCTTCCCTAATATTTTGTTGATTGACTTTACTCTGGTTGTTGTAGTCGATGAGTGTGATTAAACTGGTTATGTGTCCAAACTATGTCTGGGACTTCAAAATAACAACTTTAGTTGTGGCTGTTTGAGTTCTAGCTACTAAAGGTGCTCCCATGAAGGGGGTAAAGTAAATTGATGAATTACACTGTTAATGGTACTAGTAAATGTGACTCAAGTTTTATTTTTGGAAAACAGTCAGAATTTAATTTGTAGAAGATGAACTATGAGTACCAGACACCCACGGGGCCACCTGCTAAGAAAGGTGTCCCTTAGAATGGTTTTGCAAGCAAAACATCATATTTATAGACTGATCTTATCTTTCAACCTTCCTAGCTGAGATCTGACCTGTTCAACCTTCATAGACTGATCTTATCTTTCAACCTTCCTAGCTGAGATCTGATCAGTCCTAATCTTCTGCTCATCTCCGATAATTGTGAGGGTCAGGTCTACATATGTTAATGAAATATTGGTTGCTTTTTTGTGAATTGCGTAAATGATGTCCAAACTTGTAAATTTTAGGTGGATTGCTGTAGGTAGATGCATTTTTCATTTATTAAGTTCTAATTGGTTGGAAAATGTAGAATATGTTGATACAGATTGAATGAATTGCTTCTGGAGACATTGGCCAAATGAACACATTTTTTCATGTTTTGCTTGAGAATCCTTTTTGTTGTTTCCGCTTCATATGTATACTTTTGTAACCATAATATATCAATAGGTAAATGCTTTGATCAGTCAAGATGAACACAATAACAACTTTAGATCTGTTCTCAACTTCAGATATTTGTATTAATCCTATGCATCTTTTGTCATCAGGGTACCACGCTTGCAGTTTCTTACACAATCCTATTAGCCTAATGCAATGTGACACTTAACTAAAATGGAAAAACCATTCTTAGACATATAAGAACTAACTTGCTTATCATTTCTTGGCTGCTAAATATATTCCAGAAATCAGGGTACCATGCTTGCATTTTTATCCATTTTGGGAGCTTCTTGCTCATTTATGATTTTTTGTTACCCTTACATGAGCTTTTGTTGCTATCTTATCTATGTAAATAGTATCAAATATATGGAACTATTTTGCATGACTTCTAAAGTTAGGAAGGCTTAAGTGGTCGTTTTGCGTGGCCTTTATTTCTGACTATGAACCTTTTTCCAGTTTTTCGATTTTTCAATTTTTTTCCCCTCGTGAATATGAACCCCTTTCTGTGATCTAAAGATACTAAACTGATCTACTGTACCGAGCTAGATCTGAAATTCATAACTGAAATCACTGAATAATGTAGTAATCTAACTTATATCTGAAATTCAGAACTAATTTCAGAACTGAAATCAGATCTGAAATTCATAACTGAAATCAGACCTAAATTTCAGAACTGAAATCAGATCTGAAATTCAGAACTGAAATCAGGTTTGAATTTCATAACTTAATTCAGACCTGAATTCAGATCAGAATTTCAGATTTGAAGCTCAGAACTGAAAATCAGATCTAAAATTCAGAACTGAAATCAGTTTTGAATTTCATAACTTAATTTAGACCTGAATTCAGATCAGAATTTCAGATTTGAAGCTCATAACTGAAAATCAAATTTGAAATTCAGAACTGAAATCAGTTTTGAATTTCATAACTTAATTCAGACCTAAATTCAGATCAAAATTTCAGATTTGAAGCTCAGAACTGAAAATCAGATATGTAGTCAGAGCTTAAATTCAGAATGCTTGTGTCTTTGTGTGCGTGTGTAAAATTCAGAGTGGCTTAGTGTCATAAAAGCCTGAATCCACATTTGTTTTTTTATTGTCAATATTGAAATGAATAGAGAAACTATAAACCTAATCTGGAATGGCAGAGTTTTGAATGCTATTTGTATCAAACCAAATGCCAGCAATACATACATATTTCCATGAATTATCACTGCAAGTACACTCATCCATTCCCTCGTCTTTATGTTTCAAGGACTAATCACTGCAAGACTAATCTGATGTTTTTGGAATGAGTTTTTCTGTAGGAAGCGATGGCAGATTATGAGAAAGCTAGACAAGCAAGGATAGAACAAAACAAAAGCAGAATGAAGGATTTGGGGGTTATGTCCATGGCTTATCAGCTGAAACAATCTATGAAGGGATCGAAACAAACATAAAAAAGTAAGAAGGTGACTAAAGGTACTGACGAGTACACACCTAATGAAGAGGGTGAATTGAACCACTGAAGTGAAGAGGATGAAAATCAGATAAGGAAAAACAGTGTAAACTTGAGGTCTCATTCGAAAAAGGAGTTTTTTTTTTCCCTGACAACTTCATTATGTGAATCAGAATTGATAAAAAGTCATGGAATACTTTTAATGTTTTTGTCAAATACTTTATTGCAGGATGTGGCATTGAGAGGGAAGATTCCCACAAACATTAAAGACACAACAAGTGTCTCTTCAGTACCAATGGCTAATCTTGTTAAGATACGTCATCAAAACACCGAAAAACAACAAGTAGGGCAAGGGTTGCAAGGGACAGATTCAACGCAAAGAAAAGTCCAATTAGGCAAGTCTAATGCACAGAAAAATCTATCGTCCCATAGTTAGCAAGAGAAAGAGGTTGAGCTTGGGAAGGGTGTCCAAGCTATGATAGCACAGAGTAAGACAGTGGTTGCTCCTGGTTCACTCGGTGCTTTCAGGCAAATGAAAACAAAATTGATAGAAAAAGAGAAAAGAGCAAAACAAACTGATTTATTACAACGATAACTACAACCTGTTAACAGGACTAGTTCACAGGTCCTTTTAAGGGGTTCGCAAGAATTTTTCACAACCACAAAGAATTGAACCTAACTTACAGGAAGATTACGAGAATCATATGTGTTCAAATGAACGCAATTTGGAACAATATGCAGATGAAGAAGATAAGTATAGTGAGGATTTTAATACTCTTACCCCCGAGGAGCTAGGAATGCAAGCTGAACCATTAATGAATCATGAGCATGAAAGTGAACAAATAGGTAATTATCACTAACATTCTGCTCTAAATATTTTAAGATAGATATGTTAAGAGCAATACATGATTTTAATTTTAATGACTTTGTTCAGTTAATTTTGATGTAGTACTTCCAAAAAAGAAGCATACCAGAGGACCTACTATGTGTAAGGATGTTCATGAATGGACATTAGAAGAGCGTAAGCTTATTGTTCTTAATGAAATGGGAAAGCCTATTGGTCCTGACGATAAGACCGTAGATACATTTACAAGATTCTTAGGGACATTAGCTCGTAATGCTTCTCTAGCGCCGTTGAACAAGATTAATTGGCATCATGTTAAAGACAAGGATGAAATTTGGAATTATGTGAAGGTATGTACCTTTTATTATGTATTCAACTGCTAGTATTTTGTGTCTTTATATAGCTGCCACAAATTTAACCTACTTGCAAATTAAAAGACCTGACCTTCACAAAAACAAACAAGTAGGCCTCTGCCAAGTAGCTATCTTAACTAGATCCCCCTTGTAATTTTTTATCACACATCCAGCACCCTGCATAGCAAAAAATTTCTGATATAAAAATATTTTACCACACAATTCTGATACATTCTGATACAAGTACAATTCGAAATAGATTATGATAAAAAGCATAATGTAGTGTTCTTGGTTAAGATGCGCTTCTTTTGGCACTCCCTAATTTTCTTGTTTAATATTTTGCATAATACAGAAGAAATTCATTATCCCTGAAGAAGGTAAGGGCAGTGTAGTGTCATCCGTGGGAAGGATCTGGCGTAAATATAAATGTAGTGTAAAGGCAAGAAACTTTACTCCATATGACAATAATGGTGATAGGTTGGCAGATCCACCTATTACAATTCCAGAAGCGCATTTCAAAGAGTTGCTAGAATTTTGGAATGAATTTGGAACAAGTTCAGGTAAAATTTATTGTTTGTTTCCATTATATGTATTACAATTGCCTACTACCCTCTAAAATAAAAGATTTTAAGCTATGAACTGTGTGCTATGCATGCATGTAGGAAGACAGCAAAAAGAAAAGTGAAATAAGTAAAGATCAAATAGATAGGCACACTATGGGTCCTTGACTTTCGCGAGGAAACAACATAAATTGGTATATTTGTATTCAGTTATTTCTTTCTTATCGTTCTCACTATGATCATTTAACAATCTTTATTGAATTCTTATTTTGATGTATTTTTAATTCTAGCAACAACTAGATGTTGAAAAGAAGCCACCATCCTTAGCACACGTGTACAAAGAAAGTCGTAAAAGGAAAGCAGACAAACAATACAAAACTTCTTACGAGCCCACTCAAAGTAACATTGTAAGTCTCCTTGTCTCCACTTTTTTTTGGAATATGATTATTTGTGTGAAATTAGCTAGTTATTTATTTGTTATATTTCCAATTATAAGACAAGATGGAGGAAGTCCAAATGCAAAGTGAAATTGATGGAGATGTTGCATACTTTGAAGTAATGAATTAGCCAAATAACTTTGGCCTTAAAAAAAAGCAACCAGGGATATGTTCAATAAGGGGAAAAAGCAACAAACCAATAATTCCCGATGAGTTCCTAAAGCCCTATAAAGACGAAATTGTGAAAGAAACAGTAGTAGAATTAATGAAGACGCTCAAGCAAATTGATCCTAAAGTGGTGGATACTTTGACTCGAACAGTTGAAAATGTGTCATCCAATCTAGAGCATAGAAATCAAGTTCCAAATTTAGACTCTGAACAACAAAAAAATGAGGTAATGGTTAATATATTCACTTTTAGAAAGCATTCAATAGGATTATTATTTTTTGTTCTGGTTATCTGATATATGTTGCTTTTACAAATACATAGGATGAAATTGTTGAAGATGAAGGCTTAGACTAGCAAGTCAAGATGCATGCTGCTGATTGCATAAATGTTCCGCTCTCTACAGTTTTTGCTCTCTGCCTGTTACCGCTTTATGCTGTCAAGATGCCTATTTTATGCTAGCTGTTACTGCTTTCTGCTGCAGTTTTCTGCTCGTTGTTGCTGATGCATGCTGTTGTTTTCTGCCCATTGTTGCTGATGCATGTTGTTGTTTTCTGCCCGATGTCTGCTACTACTATCGCTGTCTGTTGCTACCGCTATTTGCAGCTTTGGTGCTGCTCTAATTCCTTCTAGGTGCTGCTTATGATATCTGCTGCTGTGCTCCTGCTGAAGTTACTATTGCTTTTTTTTTTTTTTTTTTTTTTTTTTTTTTTTTTTTTTTTTTTTTTTTTTTTTGTGAAACAAAAAAGTGGGTAGAATTTGGTGGTCTAATTTCAAGGCCGAAGCTGACTTATTAATTTTTTTATTACATAACTTAGCCAAACAAAAAATTGGTGTTTATAGATTTTTGTGAAGAAACTATGAAATTATATAAATTCAAATAATTGTTTATCGTATATGTTAATTTCACTATCGTTGATGTTGAACATGTAATAATAATAATAATAATAATAATAATAATAATAATAATAATAATAATAATAATAATAATAATAATAATAATAAATGTTACCTATTAATTATTAAGGTGTTACAGTAGTTTGCAAAAAGTGATACATAATGTCGAATAAAGTGCTACAATATGTCACAAGATGATTGAAAAATGTTACCTAATAATCAATTAGGTGATACGTTTGTTCGAAAAAATGATACGTAATGTTGAATAAAGTGTTCCTATATGATCGAAAAATGTTACTGAAGATGAGAAAGTGTTACTTGAGAAATAAAAGGTAACACTTTAAAAATGATACTAATAATATAAAAAAGTGTTACATAAGTGGGTTTAAAGTAACACTTTTAAAAGTGTTACCATATGTTACCCAAAGTGTTACATAAGACCTTAGGGAACATGGGCGGAAGTATCACCCACTAAAGTGTTACCTATTGTCTATAATAACACTTTTACCACATTATGTAACATTTTTTGGGTGTTACTTAAGGTTAGTTTTGTACTAGTGCTTCTCAAATAGGGTGATGACTTTTGCATCCTCGGGAATGTTGTCAAAGACCACTACACCCTAAGCTGTCTTGTTCAAATTTTCTCATCTCCTCGCCTTGGAAGTGATAGCTTTGCATGTCTTTGAAAATTTGCGTTTTCTGTCTTAGATCTTTGTAAAGATCACTTGTCAGTCTGGGACTTAGTGCACCTGCATATATTTTTTTGGACTACAAGACTTTACTCATGTTTTCCTTAAGGTTGACCTAAGGTTTGTTGTGCTTGACATTATGATTGCTTTGACTTGAGGTTGACTCAAGGTGATTGACATGTGTGTGTAGACTCAACTCGATGTGATATGACAGACATGAATCAATGTGCATGACTAGTGTGTGCTTTGTACTGTGATGTGCATGACTCAAAATGTAGAAAAGCAAAAATTTTCCGTCATTCTTATGGAGGGTACCGACTTTCTCCCCAAAGAAAGACACAAAAAAGAATCGAAGTAAGTGTTTGAGGTGCATGTTGAACGAGCTTATTCAAATGTATGCATTGATGTTGTTTCTCATGGTGCAAGGATTATAACATCCTAGGCTATCTCAATTGTTGACTCGATAATGAAAGTGTTTGGGTAATTTATATTTGTGATGCAATGATGATTATGATATGACAAAGCGTAGTTCAATGTTGTGTCAAGATTTCATGAAAAAAGGTTCCTTAGGGGAGGATTATTTGTCTATGTATCTTTGATGTGTGTGAAAGTGACACTAAAGCTAGGCTGCAAAGGCTAAGTGTGTGGAAAAATATTTTAAAAAGAGTAAAATAGTGGTGACTCTTAGGCTAGGTAAGCTAATAAGGTAGGGATCAAGCCCCCAAGTCTAGCTCTAAATGGATAGGGATGAGCATTGGAGATCCCATGATATGATCATGCATGAAATAAATATGAATGTGAATGAATGCATTTTTATTACGGCTGCACCTCAATGTGAGGCTGCCTACGTATCCGTTAGGGATCAAGCCGAACGTAGCTCTAGCTGAATCTCACACAAGTGTGTGTATACCACAAAGAGGTCTTTTAAGGGTTGTAACGTGGCAAGCTTAAACCAGCAGCATACACAGAAGCTCCCGCCGCCTCCTCTCTTCTTTGGCCTACTGGCCTACTTAAATGAAAGGCCTTGTGCGAGTTTGGAACTCCCCTTTTCCTTTCCCCTTTGACCTGTGCCAAACTCTACCTTTGTTGTTGCCGCAGGTAAAGTGAAGGGAGAGTTGGCCAGAGCTCTTCGCTCGATGTCCTCGGCGAGGGACGTTTTCAGATAATCTCTTTCGAACAACCAAATCACAGTGTCTTGCCTTCCCCCAAATGATTGGTGTGGCGGTTGCACACAACGAACGAAAGACCAACGAGGATTCAGGAGGAGAAGGAGTAGGGGCTAACTTTCATTGAAGTAGAGGCACGTACGCTAAAGTTTGAAGAAGAAGGGGATAAAGGCTTAAGACCTTAGATAAGCCCCAAGGTGTGCAACCTTATTTTTGAAATCTTTATATTTTTATGCTTGAGGTTTCCTCCCTTTTTAACATTCATTCTTTTGTTTATTTTTTTTGCTCTTTATTATTTTTTATTTTTTTTTTTTTGCTTTTTTTTTTTTTTTAAGTGTGGGCTATCCCGATCATGTGGTCTATTATAGGAATGTAATTTTGAAATACCCAAAAAGGAAAGTAGGAATGTAAAAAAGGGACGGAGGGAGTACATTATACAGAGTATTGATTAGTTTGAGCGAGCATTAAAAAAACAAATTGATTTTTAGGCAAGGTAAATAAATTATTCGGTTAATATTATAGAGCACGTTATGCCTTAGGGTATGTCGTTCTTTATTTCTCTACTTAGGTTCTGTTCACATTTGCTGAAATAATTAGAGGTGAACTAAACTAAACTGAACTATATAGAGTTGAAATGAATATTTTATGAGAGAAGAAAATTAGGAGTTGAAATGAATTAAACTAATTGGAGCTGAAATTAAACTGAAGTGAACATGCCCTTAATCTATCAATTGACAAGTTGTTTTTAACTTCTAATTTATACTTATGATTTGTGAATTGTAATGCTTTGATAATAAATAAATTAGTCACTAACAAATGTATGCTTAATTGCTTAAAGTTAATCACTAGAAATTATTGGCCCTCGAAAGAAAAGGTTTCAAGATCCGCCACTGATATCAAAGACATTAGAACACTTGCCCTTATGCACACTTTAATTTTTTTTTTTTTGCTTATTTTGAATATATTTTTTTAGATATAGGCAAAATCACTTAAGCTTTTGTATTTGCATAAGTTGCACACCATCCCTTCCCAAGGATAGGTAGATGTGGGTTAAAAAAATAAAGGTCTATCATTAGACGAGGCTCAAAGTGGTTTATCAGGAAATGATTGTATATTTGAAAGTTGAAAGGTGATGTGATAGGCTACAAGGGGTGCCTCAAATCATTAGTATACCTTGTGCTTAGCTCGACATTTTTTTTTCAATGATCATATGCAAGGAAATAAATGCTCATTTTATAAAAAGCAAAAAAGAAAAAGCCTACAAAATAAATTTTACGGAAAATAAAAGGTGTCTATGCTAGACTTATTGGGGAAAGGAGGAATTAGGAAATAAAGGAATAAAGATGTTACGAAATCTTGTCGTTTAAGCCCGCCTCTTGTCTTGTGCCTTATCATCACTCGCTCTTTTTGCCTGCTGGAGGTATGGGAAGCTGATGAGTGTCATTTATGGTACTCATTTGGTTCTTTTTAGGATGAATTTCATGCTATTCTATAGCTCTTTTACATAGCTTTTCCTTTATTTTACTCTTTATTTATTTTATTTTTCATTTTCTAAGTTGGATTTCTTTCTTTATGCATTTCTTGGTTTATTTTGTTATTTTCTCTTTTATTTGCTTGTTTTCCTTTATTTTTCAGGTTAAGGTCGTTATCCAAGTTTCTAGAGGCCTCCTCCCAAGTTTGGCATTGATTAGGATGCCTAGTGGTCTCTATTTGAAGCTAAAGCATGGAGAAGTGCAAGTTCCTAAAGTCCTTGAGCTGTGCATTCAAGCTGTGGGGGCATGATTTCTAGTCTTGAACCCGCAAACATGGAGATTAGAAACTAAAAGGTTTTGTGTTTATCAAGAGCATTAAGTGGAACCCACGAGGAGCATCGGAATGATAGGGAAGAGGGCTCCCCTGCTCCCAAACGCGGGCGCGCGCGACCATGGCACGGCCGCGCGGCCTGGTGGCGCGGGCGCGCCTGTCTTGGTCCCTGTTCCGTACCCAGTTTTGAGTGGTCGCGCTCTCGCTTATGGTTGGTCGAGCCTGTATGGGTTTATTTGGGGACGATCTAACTAACTTCTCTTAGTTAGTTTTACTATATATAGATTTTCTTTCTTTTTTTAGGAGGAGAATTAGAGGATAATTAGAGAATCATTAGAGTTCAATTTTTCAGAAATTAGGATTAGAATTTTAGAGAGAGAAACTCTAGATTGTAGATAGAGAAGTTCTTGATTGGTCATTGATGATTGATGATTGAAGATTGTTAATTCTAGCATTTCCTCCATTAAATTGAAGCAAGTTTGTAAGGATTTCTTCTACTTTAATGCAATTTTTAGCTTATCATTTCAATTGTTTTGTTAATTGTTCAAGTTTGAATTGAATCTGTGATTGAATTAGTTCTATTGATATGATGATGATGAAATTGTTGATTAGCTTAGTTTTGATCTTAATTTCAATGAATTGTGAGTAGTTCTCTTGATAGGGGAATGGTGAAACATGTATGAGTGATGGATTGATGCTAATTGGAGGAAATTGACGGAGTTGATGTTTAGATTAAATTGGTTGATTGATTAAGTGCATGTGTGTGATTAATTGAAGTGTAGCTAACTTTGATTTGTTACACTATAATACATTATAAGCTTGCATTGATACAGAAAATTGATATGTGGCTTTCTTTTGTCGATTGAGTTGGTTTGCAAAGTTCCTAGTTTAAGTCTCTTGTAGTTGGCGCTAGCTTGAATTTTAGGAGATTAGCCTACCCTACTCTTTTGATTGCTTAGTTGATTTTCCCTCACAACACTTGACTTAGTCATCTCCAATCCCAATTAGCTATGTCCATTCCGAGTACATGCGTATTCTAACCCTAGTGCTTGTTAAATTTGATTTCATTTGATTGTTTTGATTACACACACCTTACTTTATTGCTTGAAATAGCTTAGATTTGACTTTATCATTCATTTCCCATTCCTAGTGGTTTGACCCTCGACTTACTCTATGCTTTGTGTAGGGGTGTGTTGAGAGATAATAAATTTTATTTTGACCAAGGGTAGATTAGTTTTCAACGCTAGTCTCGCTTAGGGTAAAAAATGGTGTCGTTGCCGGGGAATGGCATAGATGATTGCTATTTTTGTTGAGTCTATTTCACCTTAATCTCAAAAATACAAAAACATTTTTCTCTTTAGGCTACATTTGTAGCCGTACTATTGATATTTGCTTTGAGTTTTGGTATGCGTAGGATAAGAGGTAGGACTTTAGTGCCATTTGATCCGGAAATCGAGAGAACAATAACAAGGATAAGGGTTGCTAATCGTTTTGTGAGTCCAAGCTCTCCAAGAGAAGAAATTCACCAAGAAGGAGAAGAAGAGGATCAAGTAAGCATGGGAGAAAATCCAAGAGTTGCTTTGAAGAAGTTGGGAACTCCTGGTGCATATAGGTTTGAAAGTGGGATTGCTTTGCCAAAAACACCGGAAAATGATTTTAAGATAAGACCGGCCATGATCACTTTGATTGAAAGAAGACAATTTAGTGGGGCTAAGATTGAGAGTCCGCTAAACCATCTCAAAGAGTTTGAGAAGTATTGCAATACTATCAAAGAGAATGGTGTTTCTCAAGAGTTTATTCGGCTTAAGTTGTTCCCCTTCTCTCTCATAGTTTGAGCTTTGGAATGGTTAGACAAATAGGTCAAGCCAAATTCTCTTAGAACATGGGATGAAGTTACCAAGGAATTCTTGTCTAGGTTCTACCCCCAAAAGGAAACGGCGGTGGCAAGGGCTTTGATCCAAAGTTTCAAGCAAAAACCTAGTGAGAGCTTGTATGAAGCTTGGAAAAGGTATAAGGAGTATCCAAGAGAATGTCCCCATCATGGCATCCCAACCTATAAAATCATTCAAATTTTCTATGGAGGGTTGAGTCCTCAAGGCAAATCGTGTCTAGACGCGGGAGCCGGAGGCCCAATCATGAACATAACCGAAGAAGAGGTTGTGGACATTATAGAAGATTTGGTGCCCCATTACATGGATTGGCAAGAAGGAGAAAAAGAGTTTTCAAGAAAGAATGGATCAACGGTTTACTCGGTTGATCATCTTAATGCCACCAACAATCTATCCTCTCAAATTGCAAGTTTGGGGAAGGAGATGACAACAATCAAGGCCAAGCTTGAGAGTGAAACTTCCAATGTACAAGGTCATCCCTCCCACATTAAAGGAAGAGGTACATCTTCTAACTCTACTCCTCTTTCTACTTCTAACAATATGCCCAATGGATGTTTGTTTTGTGATAATTGTGGGTCTTATGACCATGATGCTTCTACTTGTTCAAATGGGTTTGAAAATCTTGATGATGGTTAGAGTAGTGAATGTGAACATGTTAATTTTGTCTCAAACAATAACAATGTTCAAAGGTTTGATGGACTAAGAAACTTTGGAAATAGAAATTCTAACCAACAAGGTGGATGTGATAACTATAACAATGGTAATTATAGGAACCAAGGAAACCAAAATTTCCGAGGCAATTATAATAACCAAGGTTATGGAAATCAAAATAAAGGCCAAGGTTATGGAAATCAAAGCCAATCTCAAGGCTTTGGTGGCCAAAGCAAAAATTTTGGCAACAATCAAAATCTAGGAAATTGGAACAATCAAAATAGGGAAAATTTTCAAAACAATCAAAGGGGACCGTCACCCGGATTTGGTCCAAAGCCTCAAGGTGTTGGATAAAATTCCTATTCTCAATCGTCCAAGTCCAATTTGGAGGAGATAATTGAAAATCAAACAAAAATGTTGAACACCTATATGGCGGTGAGCGATAAGAAATTTAATGAGATCATGACACATAACAAAATGCTTGAGACACAAATCACCCAAGTAGCAAACACTTTGAAAGATTGTGCTAGTCCTTCTTCATTTCCTTCTCAAGGAGTTGATTCAAAGAAACCCATTTATTCCATCACCACAAGGAATGGAAGAGTTCTTGAAGAGAGAGTTTCTAGGGATTGTGAGGAGGACAAGAAGAAGAGTGTTTCAAGTGATCAAAGAGAGGAAGATGTGTCAAGAGATGTGAGCAAAGAAGAGAGCCATGAGAAAAAGAAGAGTGATGAGAAAAAGCAAGAGGAAGTGAGAAAACTCGACCTTCCATGTCCCCAAAAGTTTATGAGGAACAAACTAGATGAACAATTTGAGAGATTTCTTGAAATGTTGAAGGAGGTCCATCTTTCTATCCCTCTTACTGAAGCCATGACATAAATGCCTAGATATTCCAAGTTCCTTAAGGATATCTTGAGTGGCAAGAGAGATTGTAATGAGATAGGTTCGTTAAAGCTTGGTGAGTGTTGTAGTGCTTTGATTCATAATGACCTCCCCTAGAAGATGAAAGATTCGGGTAATTTCTCCAATCCTTGCAAAATCAAGAGTAGGTTGTTTGAGAATGCTTTATGTGATTTGGGTGCTAGTGTGAGCATAATGCCCTTCTCGGTCATCAATAAGCTCACTACTACATTTTTAACCTATTGCAACCCTCAAATCCGTTGCATTAGGCATTAAAATCCATGGCATTAGGCCTATTGCAACGGCCATGTACCGTAGCATCTGCTGGCGCTGCAGTAGGTCCAATGCAACGGTAAAGTTACGTAACACAACGGCAAGCTTATAGTTGTTGCAATAGCTAAACATCTAATGCCACGGCACCCTTATGGCCGTTGGAGTAGCTATATTTAGCTAATGCGATGGCAATAAAGTGCTAACGCAACGGCTATAACAATAATTATAATAATTTTAAATAAGAAAAAAAGAAATAATAATAACAACAACAACAACAATAATAATAATCAAATCCAAACTTTATTAATATAAGTTGTAGACTTGTACATTGTTAGTTTGTTACCCTTAGGGAAAATTACAAAATTATACAGTATGTCACTAATTAAACCATGAAATGAGTATCAAAATTAAATATTTTTGTGTCGTGTCTTATTAAGTCTTGCTGTGATATGATCAATTCAGGCATTCTGCTTTCTAGGCTCGGGGTTGTTCTCCTTTCTTCCTCACATTCAAAACTCGCGGAAGTACTTGTTGTGCTGACTTACTTCCATCTTCTTAATCTGCTTATGCAGACTAGCACCATAACAGGTACCTAAACAATGCAACAATAAGCATCAATTGAGATACACCCATACATACACTTTCAATCTACTAACCCAACATAACAACAAAACAAAATAAAAAATCCTGATGGCTGATACCACATGTATTGAAATTCAAATTACCCATCTCTTATCATATACAAATCTGTTCTAAACAAAGATTATTATATGCAGTCATCAAGAATGATTTCTATGAACATAATCAGCACTAAACAACCTAAATCAATCATATTATTGTCATAATTCATAATCTCTTGTTTTTTCAAACCCGTAATGGGTGCCTTATATTGATAACTTATCCGTCAAAACATAAGGAGATAACTTATCCATCAAAACATAAGGAAAAACTTCACAAGGACAAAGGTTTTCCTTAACTTGTTCAAAATCGTAAGGCAAAACACGAGCTAAGTTATGGGCAATAGTATTCCCATCTCTCTTAACATGGCACCACAAAAAAGAATTAAAATCAGCACAAGAAGACTATATTATTTAAAATAGTATCAAGATCAGTGAGGTAAACCGAGGCCTGTGATAATCTGGAGATAAGGACTTGACAGTCTGCTTCTAGAATAACATCATTCAAGCCAAAGCGTTTGGCTATTCTGACTGCCATAGCAGCAGCTTTGCTTTCTGCCACAACATGGGGCTGGTGCGCCTGGAAGAAGCGGACAACACCTCCCCCTGCCAGTCTCTTGCAACAACACCAAGCCACACCCGCCCCTCAAGATTCAGTGAGGCATCACAGTTGAGTTTAATCGTTTTATCGGGTGGGGGAACCCATTTCTTTGAGCTTCTACATGTAGTTGTCTTGGCACCACCATAAATCTTTCGTGCATAGAGGCCACAATCAGCAGCAAGTCTGAAAACTCGCTTAATAATCACAGGGTGGTAAGTGTCTTTTCCATTCAAAATCATGTCATTCCTTCTATTCATAATCTAAGAATTACTTCATGCGATGTAACAAAATTGAAATACAATAAGATTACATTCAAATAGAATTGAAAATACTCACTGTATTTCCCGACAATACCAACCTTCTTGGTTCTCTGGGCCTGTTTACATAAACAAGCATAAGTAAAAAAATTTCTAAGAAAAAGCTGAGCATAATCATCGCACATCGTAGACCAATAAATACCACAATTAAAAAAAATGCTTAGTTGCTGATGCCCCACCTGAAAATGAAGGTCAGAGCTGAGAACGTTCTTTCTGTCTGGGGGAAAGAGGAAGCTTTTGTTTCATGACATCATAAACTGTCCAGTTCAAATGGAAGTCGATTTTCACACAGTTGGTTTCTGACTAACCCTGTGGGTTCAAAATATTACTTCACAGATCTTCTTTGACGACCTATAGTAACTATAGGAAATCGCTTCAACAATTGTAAATTGATTATCAACCAGTACATATATTAATGGGACGAAAATAAACAAGTCAGTTTTCAAAATAGATTGAAAATTCACCACATTCAAACGGTCCAAAATCGATTAATACCTTCCACCATATACCAAGAATCCAAAAGCTGCACTAAATGAAATAACTGCAATAACCACCTACAATATGTTACAGATAGCTTGATTGTCTTTATCAATAGCAACGATGAAGCAACAATAAGAGAGGTATGTATATACGCTAACAGTGGAATCTGTATATCTACTTGGCCGTATCATTCCAACTTCCATTTCATGAAGTATGCACTCCGTATGAAAGATTAATAGTCTAAATATATATATTTTAACCATTCAATTCAGTCATTGTTTATACTAGTAAATGAAGCAAATTCTCAATTTTATTTTATATGCTTAAGTTATCTTTCAATGCCTAAATTTAGATAACTTTGAGTGTGCCAGCAACAATACCAATATATTGAACTAAAATCACTACAAAAGATTACAGATTGTAAACAAATGTTTCATAAACCCTAGATAACAATTAATACGAACCTCAAAAGCCAGCAAAACTTATAGATTAAAAAAATGTTTCATAAACCCTAGATAACAATTGATTTCAACCTCAAAAGCCAACAAACTAAGCTAATAATCAGCATTAAAATGAAAAAATTGACATCTCATCAGATCAAATAAACAAAAAGCGCAAAAAATAGTAGTGGTTTGGAGTTTTTAAAATGCAAATTTCACAATAACTAACATTTCAAGCAACAAAAAATCAAACAAATCAATCCAAACTTATGTCGAATAAATCAGATTCATACACAATAAATTAATCGAAACTAAATTATAATCGATGATTGAAAAGAGAGAGATTGAGAGGTGTACCATTGCGACGAATGTCTACTGATGGCGGTCGGACACAAGATCCACGACCATTGGAGTAACAGGTGATATAAATAGTGAGTAAATAACAAATTAATAGAAATTCAAATCCACCAAAGAACCCTAGATTGCTTACATTGACAATTAAATCAAAGATAGTTAAACCCTAGATTGTCAAATTGATATTTGATGATTAATAATAATAAGTACCTCAACCCAGCTTCAATGGAAGGAAGAAAGCCCAGAGTACGCCGCTTCATCGGAAAGCTCGCTCAATTGAGGAAAGATAGAGTGTGTGTGAAAGAGAGAGAGTGGGTATGTATGAAAGAGGTCCTCCAAGGGCTCCAACTAGTGACTCACAAAATTCTTATTAGAGGGGCGGATTATCTAAATTTAAGCGCATTTAAAAATTCCAAAATCACTACCGTGGCATTAGCCTTTTAGGCCATTGTATTAGCACCCCTAATGCAACGGCTTCTTGAAGCCGTTGCGTTAGCCCCACCTTTTGATGTACAAAGTTTATGCCGTTGTATTAGGCTTATCTAATGAAACGACAATAAAACGAGCCGTTGCAATAGCTATTTTTAACCGTTGCATTTGATAAAAAATGTAGTAGTGGCTAAAGCTAGGAGAACTTCTTCCTACCAACATGGCTTTGCAATTGGCCGATAGGTCTATCAAGTTTCCCAAGGGAAGAGTTGAGGATGTTCCCCTAAAGATAGGTGTTTTTACAATTCTCGTTGATTTCATTGTGCTTGAAATAGAAGAAGATGACCACATTCCTAGTATCTTAGGGAGACCGTTCTTAGCTACTTTGGGAGCTTTGATTGGTGTTAAGGGAGGCCGAATTACCTTCATAGTTGGTAACAAGAAAGAGAGTTTTGAGATAAAACCAATGCATGAGTCCTTATCCCTTGTGAAAGGAATCAAGAGTGATGATTCCCTTCGTTCTTTTGATAATGTGTATGTGATTAATTCTTCATCTAACAATGTTCATGATATTTGTGCTTGTGAGTTTTGATTGCATGAAAGTTAGTGAAGATAAGAAGGAGCTTCCAAAGGCTATGAACAAAGAGGAGATTGACATTCCTCATTGGTTTGAGCTCTACCCTCGAGAGGAAGAGGAGGATTCCATGGAGGTATATGGTGAGAAACCGTCTATAAAAAGAAACAAAATTAAGAAGAAAGCAAGAGCTTCGAAGAAGAAGAGAATGAGATTGAATATGAGAAATGAAAATATTGTTTTTGATGTGCAAGCTAGTGAAGTCTTGTCAAGCAACAATGAGAGATTGCTTAAAAATGAAGGAGAAGTTGTTCAATCTGCTACCTTTGACAAGGTGGTATTCATTGACCCTCTGTGATTTGGAGTAAGGGTCGAGCTAAGGACCTTAAGCAAGCGCTTCCCGGGAGGCAACCCGGTGATTTCTAACCTTTTCTTTTGATATAAATTTTTCTTAAATTTCTTTCTTTTAGTTTCTTTTCTTTTCTTTCACTTGTTTTTACTTTGGATTTATAGGTTGAATTCTTGGAGTTGGATTACATCAAGTAGGAACGAGCAATGGAATGGTGTTTTGCGGTTTTTGATGTGTTTTATGTTCAATTTTATTGAAATTTTGAGGTAAAAAGGGTAAGAATTGTTAGAAAGGTAAGTTAGGAAATTTGTGCTTAAGTTTAAAGAAATTGGAACTTGGTGAGTTCATCGTGGTGCTACTATTATTTGGGGTGTTGAACCCACATTTTTCACATTTAGAAACTGATCGTTATGATGGGGTCAAAAATCCCGGAATGATAGTTATCGATGTACCCACGCATGAACGCACGAAGGAGAAAGGCAAGAGGAGCAATAGCTAGCACGGGCGCGCCTAGCCTGTGCGAGGCCGCGCACGACACTAGCGCGGGCGCGCTGCCAGGTCGCGCGGCAACGCACCCCCAGCCGTGCGTATCTCTTCTTCTTTCTTTTCCCTCATTTCCCCTTCACCCTCATTTTCTCACGCACACAAACCCCTTCACCCTCATCAAAACCGCACCATATTTCTACTCACATTCATCAAATCTTCACTCAAATTCTACCAAATATCCATTACAATTCATCAAGTCCTCCTATAATTCTTCCATTTTTAACAAATTCATACTACATTTCACCCATAACAACCACTATTCTCCCTCCTCCATTGTTGAAGCTTATTTGGGGTTTTTTGTGTGGATGAAAATTGGTGGCTAAATATTGCTTTAACTTGCTTCTTGTATGGTATAATCATCTACTCTTACTCTTAATTGCTTTATTATACCATATAATTGCATATTTTAGTTAATTCATGGGCATGAATAGTAGTAGTGTGTATTTTGATGGTTTTGATGTTTGAAATTGGATTTTGGTTGGTTATTTGTGATGAATAATGTTTAATTATTGCTTACATTGTGTTGTTTGTTTTTTGTGTAGAAAAATTGTTTGTTATTGTTAAGAATTGTTGTGATCGGATATTTGGTAGTGGTGCTTCGTTGAGAATGTTGAGCCTTGGTTCTTGATTTCTTTGTGCTTGGTATATGGTTTGAATGCATTTAGTGGCTTGAACAGGTGGTAATTAAGTGCATTTGGGATTGCTCATCTTTGGTAGTGAGTTGTTGCTTATCGGTTTTGGTTAAGGAGTTCGATTGAAGCATTCAAGATTGTTGGTTGGAGTTTATTAGGGTGATTGTGGTGTTTTGAGTTGCTACATTTGAAAATCATCATGTCTAAACACATCAAAAGCATTTTCAAGAAACGAAAGGCCAATAAAGAACCCGTTCCTTCTCCCTCTACCTCACAACAACGTCAACCTACCCTATCCCCAAACTTAGAATTACCGACCCAATCCAAAAAGCTAGACACTCCAAGCTCAAAGCAAACTGTTACCTCATACCTTCCCGTCACTACTATCAAGCGGGCATGATTAAATTGGGGATTGATTAAGACTTGAAGGAGTTGCTCAACAACCTTCGCATGGGGTCTTTTGTGAGCCGAAGCTTCCGTACATATGTTCAACCAACTTTGGAGTTCCTGGCCATGTTTGATCTTGTGGTAATTGAGGGTCGTATCTATCGTACCCGATTTCAACTCTTCAACATTCAATTTGATCAATCTTTGGAAGAGTTTAATGCGACTCTTGACTTTGATCCAAATTCTGATATTTTGGATCTCGAGTTCTTCTTCAACGATGAGTATGATCAGAATTCATGGTGGGACGATATTTCTAGTTGCGGTGACTTTGTGACCCGGTATGCCCAGATTAGTAAGGTATACCAACCATGTCTCCGGGTTCTTTACAGGCTATTAGGATATTTGGTGTTTCCGAAGCAAGAATTGGGAAACATGAGCCAATTGGAACTTCGGATTTTATGGGTGGCTACTCGTGCGGAGTACCGGGCTCGTCTAAACTAAGGGTACACTTTTGCAAGCTATTGCCAAGGGTTGCATGATAGGGAATCCGGCGAGATCCCTTGTGGGGGCATGGTCATTAGGCTAGTGACCAACCTTGAGCTAGGGCATTATTTGCCATCTTGCACTCCGATAGGGGATGTTGATTCTCTTTACCTCGACGTCAAGAAATTAAAGCAAATCCATTTCTTAGCAAAGAATGATGACGATGAGGTATTTGATTGGCTAAAGGACAATGAGCATTGGTGCTATATCCCTAACCCTTCCTTGACTTCTCTCCACCGAGAGAATGTAGCAAACATTTGGCATGTCCCCATTAGTCACCGCCCGCCCTACTATAATGATGATGAAGAAATGGGTGAAGAAGAAGAAGAAGAAGAAAAAGAGCCGCAACAACAACAACAACAACAACAATAACAACAACAACAACAACAACAACAACAACAACAACAATATCAAGAGTAACATCATCAATATGCTAGTTCCGACTTGGATGCCCTTAGTGCTCAAATGAAGAGCATGCAAATCCGGTTGGAGGGCATGTATGATTAAGATTTAGAAATACTCATATGAACGGGATTTTGGAGATGCAACAAGGTATGTTTCTCCAACAACAACATTTGTATGATGCGGGTGTTAACCGGGGGGAAATCACTCCCCCAGTTAACTACCCTTACTTTCCACCCCAATATGGTCCTCTATCATCTGTTGGGGGTGATGGATACCTACGTACCCATATTGGAAAGGACCCTAGGGTCCAACACCGAGACTCGCTCATTCCCTATGAGCATGGTAACTACGATTACCGTGTTCCCGGTGGGAGCGATTATAGGGGTGATCCTAACTACCCCTATGTACACCCCGATCACCCACTACCGCTCGCCTTGCCCGAGCATAACTCCCCTTGCCCCTTGTCAACAAGATAACTTTAGGGGGCATTATGGTTGGCCACCCGGTTACACTGGGGGATGGGATCCTATGATGGGGATAACAATGATGGCTCCGGGTCGAGTGGTAGTGGTTGCTAGTTCCCTCATTTTGATGGCTATGTTCCTCCATCCCTTGTCTTATGTGTGCTTACTTTGTATTGTTGGGATGTTGAGATGTATTTTTGTTTAGCTTGGGGGAACTTTTCCTTTTCTTAGGGATTTTGTCTCGGTGGCCAATTTGTTGTTGAAACTTGCCTTGTTTCTCTTGATTATTTTCATGATGATCTCATTCTTGATCCTCCTTTGATGATGTTTGATCATTTTTGATCTTGTTGTTGTTGTGATGATGATGTGTGTTTGCTCCCTTAAATCCAAACCCCCAAAATCCAAATCCCATGAATCCAAACTCCTTGAATCCAAATTTTATAGTTTAGTATTTTGATGCTTAGTTAATTGTTTAGTTAGTTCTTATTTTATTATTTTTTGTTTTCTTGATAGTTTAGTTTTGCTTATTTTTTCTTTTTATTTTCTTTCCTTTTCGTTTTCTTTTCATTTTCTTTTGTTTTGAAGTTACTAACTGTTTTCGTTGTCCATAGTTTTCTTTTCCATTTTTGTTCTAATATGGCTTTGATGATGATGCTTTGTTTCTTAGAGCTTCATGAGGTGGTTGATTCTTCACCTTACTATTTTAGCATTACTTGGAAGCCGGTGAGATCTTTCTTATTTTTCTTTATTCTCTTATATTTTATTGGATACATAGTTTAGGACTAGTTTTAGGAAAAGTTGAATGGTTCGAGGATGGATGCTTTTATCACCTATAGTGTTTGGGATCATTGACAATGTTGTAATTTGATCACTTGTTTGTCGATTGGGAATTACATGCTTTACTTGCATATTCGTTCTATTCTTTACTTTACTTCTTTTCCTTTATCTATGTTTTTCTTTTCTCTTTTCTTTTCTTTTATTTTTCTTTCTTTTTGTTTTTTAATTTTGGTATATTTTGAGGCTTTATTTATCACCTTTTAGTTTTTCTTTTTGAATTGGACTATATACAACCTATTTTTGCTTTTGAATGAATATCTTCCTAAATGGTATGGGCATGCACG